CTTCATTACGCACGACTCTTTCACAAGTGCTGATGAAGCAGCTCTTTCCAGATCCTGTCGGTCCAAACACACCAATTCTTAGTTTATCGACGTCACTGATGTCCAATCCACGAAAGCTGGCCAAATCGATTTTGGAACCAAACTGATAATCAAATAGGTCTTGTCGTTTAGCCATTGACTTGGCTTGAAGCTCCAATAACATTAGACGCTCTTCTTCTTTTCTTAACTCTTCTCTTAGTCTTGCTTCTTCCTCTGCGCGTCTCTGTCGTTCTAATGCTTGTATGAATTTCTGCCGTTCTCTTTCTGCTGCCTGGCTCGCTTCTCGTTCAATTCTCTGTCTCTCTGCATTTTCTCTCGCTCTCCGTTCATTTTCAAGGCGATTTTTCTCCCTTTGTCTTTCCTCTTCTTGTCTTTTTTTTGAGTGGTCGACATAAGTGTACTGAGTCTCAGTGCCTTTACTTCCACCACCCTAAATATATATCACAAACACCTTAATTGTCTTAAAAATACGCATACACACCTTAAAATCACACATATACAACAATATGATATTCAACAAATCATTTCTAACGTGGTTCTAAGTGAATCAAACTGGTAAGATGAACAAGTGATAGATGTATTTTTCCAGTGATACATCAAAATGTGCATCGACATGAAGTTTGAATAAAGTTTATTGTTTTTTGTTTTTTTCAATTTCCAGTGATAATCAAACAGCAGTACTGTATACGTGAGTTTTCCTGGAAAAACAAATTGCGATCTGGAACAACCATATGATAAACACACTATGTATCAGTCAGTTAAAACCCTTGTCCCGCAATCTCCGCGACGACCGGAAAATTAACACATTGTAGTCGGGGATTTAAAAGTTTTAACAGCACAATTAACGGTCTAAAGGCCGAAAAACTAACGTCCAAATCAAAAGAAATGATCTGTTTAGCCGCCTTTTTTGAAGGGCTGGGAAATGCGCTGCGGGGAATTTAACATTTTGAAATGTTAATCCACCGGGGGAGGGGGGTGGGGGCTGATAACCGTGGTTACGTACAATTAACTATTGCACACTCATCCCCTTTAAAAACATTTCAGTGTTTATATATTCCTAAACAAAATCACCCCACCCCCAACCGCTAAAGTTTTTTTTTGCTTTCACTTTCAAACTACGATAATTCAAAAGAATATTTGCTAGGCTGTATACGAGAAAAGTGAATCAGTCTAGGATAGATCGAGTTATAGAAGATGTAAGACTTTTAAAAATGTCCATTCTAAAATCATCTATACAGTATTTATGCCATTCTATATCTTAAATGAAGGTCGTCYGGCGGSACAGTGCGGAGGAACCTCTCGCACCAGCGTTCATTATTCACGATTTCTACAGTTTCTATAGTACTTACTCCCATAGTTGTATAGAATGCGAAGTCAATACGATGTCGACAACTTCAATAGACGTTAGCCGCTACAGCCCGGGCCTGTAATGTTTCAGAATATATAGAAAAACAAGAACCACAGCTTGCTATTTCGTAGGGAAAGTCCCTTCCACGAATTGAAACTCGTGATGTGGGCATACTTTCGCGGAATTCTATAAATAGTTTATGTCATATCGTGACAGAAGAGCGTGACTTAGTCAGAGCGATTTGATGAAAATCTAAAATACTATTGCTTCAACTTTAACAATAATGTATGTAATATAAATAGTGTAAAAGGTGTGTTTCATGTTATGGTATAGACCAAATCAAAATGACAGAATTTTGCAAGTCACTGGGAATTCCCATTTCCTGTTTTTCTGAGAATACCTCTTACTGTGCTGATCGGACTGACAGTCTGGGACTTTCCGTCACGCACTATGCAAAGTCATAAGTTGTGAAATGGAAACATTTCCGAGCATCACTGAATCAATGTATATATGTCCCAAGCCAGTATGTATTAGAAAATATGAAAAAATGTTTAGCACGATCTCGTATTACTCAAAATTCAAACGTCTTTTTATCTGAAGTGATTGAGCAATACAAGGTTTTATTTAAAAAACAAGAAAAAAATTCACTTGTTACATTGACGGATTTTATCGGTTGATTATAACCCAATTAATGTTAGCCTATCATCCGGGATTCTGTTCTAATATATGTCCAAACATCCCCTTGTTCTCTTGCTAATGTAGGCATGACTTTGCAAAGTGACGTCATGGTGAATCAATCAATCAATCCATCAATCAGCTCGCCGCAAGGAACGCCTGGGGTCTTGGCTGGTTCCGACTCCCTGTTCGATTTTGAGACGCAAACTTGGGTTTTGTCAGTTTTGTCAAGTATTCCATAGTGGCACGTTTATCAAAATAACTTGAAATTGAAATTGAATTAAATTGAATGAAAGCAATTACACTCTATGTGTAAACTAATTTATTTTGTTTTATTTCTAAACGTCATCACTTAATTAGAAGCTTACACAATTTAACTACCTTCATGCACCTACGTATTTTAAGATACGTTTATAAATTGTAATTTGATAATCTATATACTTTAGAAATAATTGAATAAAAATTGATCTTTGTGGACTCTGGCCCTCCTTAACCGCACTACCCTTTTACTCTTTCTACTATTGGGGTTCCTTTAGAAGAACTGGTGAAGAAGAGGGCAACTGGGAAGTAGGGAGACGTTTCATTGTTTGTTTCCAGTATCTTCRGTCTYTAACTCAGTAACACCAAGGAACAACCTATGTTAACTTAATCACAACTATGAAAAAACACTGCATACACCAAAATCATGATTATAGGAATCGCTGTGGAAATAAGAACATACTGAAAAGTTTGGCCAGATGTTTTAAACATAATCTTTAAATACTTATCGATGACATTTCGCATTTTTAAAGGAACCGTCTTATCTATCTCTTTCCAGGTTTTGTTCAGGACCCCTATGGTTTTGATGTCTTCCTGGTCTGTTTGATCCAATACTTTTTTGAGGTCTGCGTCTTTCCATCCGTACTTGGCTTGAAGTGCTGTCAGAAAAAGGTCAACTGGAACTAGAATGTAAATAAAGAACAAATGGTTATGAATAAATATGTTCATGAGTTCATGTACTCATGTCTATACATGTACGGATTGCTCCATCTCTCGCACCCTATATCGGGTGAACCGATCACATCACTTCGGTTACTTTCCCTACTGACTGCATCCCTCAGATTTTGACTTCACTTTTTGTTTTGTGTATTTATTGTTGTTTTTTGTTCCTTGGAGGTTTTCAGCTTCTACTTGCTTTTCTTCCACCATAAACGGGTTGACCACAGGATGTCAGTAATTACCACTGGAAAAAATCGCTCGCTCTAAAGGTTACAAATTTGATGTAAATATGATGTAAGTTTCCAAAATTCTGTAAATTTGATGTAAATGATTTCTATTGAATTTATAGAATTTTGGGCACTTACATCATATTTACATCAAATTTACAACCTTTAAAGCGCGCGATTTTTTCCAGTGTATAGCACTATAGAAGCAGGTGCGGAAAGGGGCCGCCGCCTTGTTTTGCTGTTACTGGGAAAAAATCGTTGTCCAAATCCCTCAAAATGCTGGAAATCACATTTTCTGGATCTCAATTTCAAAATCCACCCCTATCCCCCCACCTTAAATTTCTGGATCCGCCCCTGCGAACATGACAGTTATTAGGGCTAAACTAGGACTGTAAGTCACATCGAATTATTTTAACTCTCTTTCTAAGATACGTCGCTTACTTGTGGGGTCGACGAGTAGTGTTTGTACGTTGTTGCAGATGTCGTCTATTGCCTTCTGAATTTGATCCTCCTGTCTGTTCCTCTTCTGTTGTTTTGCTATCTTAACATAACGTTCGGCTGTAGTGAGAGCAAAATGCAAAATATCGAAGACTTGGAGCTCKGTGTTSACGTCAGGTCCAGGATTATCAGGGCAATAGTTGGCCACAAAGAACGTGTGACTRCGTGAGCTTCCTGTAGCYGCTGAAGCAAGCTCTAGGGCATCCTCACACTCTTTCTGTGTTTTGAGGGTGTCTCTGTGTGTCACCACCGTTACAGGGGAAAGACCTATTAAAGACATAAATTGTAATATTTCATTTGTCGAAAGATCTTAAATTTTACTCGTTAATTTTCAAAGTTTGAATATGCGTGTTCAGAGTCGTGATATGGTATGTTTTGTTGTTGAWGATTTTGCGCCCTGATCCCCAAGTATTTGAGAGATTCCTTCAATGTTATTCTARATGATCCAGCAGCTGTCATTCCAATCCCAAAGCTAAAATCCTGATCCTTCATCTAAAAACTAATGCTGATCCCTAATGCTATATATGATGTCACGACCCCCTGCTGTTTTTTTTTTTGCAACAACGTAGCCTGGTTCCAACTGAAGCTTAGTGTCTTTTAGGCTTTTGCATACTACATTTTTACGTCAAAAACAAACCGATTAACGATCATTCGCGTCTTGATAAAATAGTATAAGCAAAAGAATAAAAGACAAGTCCCTGGAAACAGGGTAGCAACAACGTTTAAATATTGATACGTCGACTAGCTTTCCAAAAAATATTAAAATTATAAAATATTGAAATTATAAAATATTAAGAATTTTATTCTCTCACCTATCGTGCGCAATAACATTCTTATTTGACTAAAATAATCTTTCAACATTCCATTGCGGAGTCGAGTATCCTGTCCRTTAACTACCAGAATYATACCATGGGTCCAGTCACTAAATGGCGCCTCTTTTCTCTTCACTTCTGGTGGATGAGATGACAYATCGCCTGYTCTMTTTATGACATCTCCGGGTTTCACTCGGCCATACAAAATGTCGTTGAACTCACACTCCTCGCTAGCATCGTAGTGGAAAAACCCTCTGGTGTCAACCAGTCTGAAGAACATCTCAGAAAGGAAGTCTTCGAGYACGAYAGTACCTTCTGCGCCAGAMGTTGCAATGGGAGATGACCCTTTATCTTCATTACGCACGACTCTTTCACAAGTGCTRATGAAGCAGCTCTTTCCAGATCCTGTCGGTCCAAAYACACCAATTCTTAGTTTATCGACGTCATTTATGTCCAATYCACGAAAGCTGGCCAGATTGATTTTGGAACCAAACTGATAWTCAAACAGGCCTTTTCGTTCAGCYRCGGATTTGGCTTKAAGCTSCAACAACTTTTGACGCTCTTTTTCTTTKCTCCCAGCTTTTCTCAGTCTTGCCTCTTCCTCTGCACGTTTTTCGCCTTTTAACCTCTGAAGAAATGCTTGTCTCTCTTGTTCAGCAGTCTGTCTAACAAAGCTTTCAATACGTTGTTTCTCTGCAATTTCACGTTGATTTCGCTCATTTTTAAGTCTATTTTCTTCTTTTCGTCTTGCATTTTCTTTRACCGTCGAGGTGTGATCAACATACGTGTARTGATACTCTTTTCCCTTGAAGAAAACCAATTACTATTAAATTATTTATTGTCACTTTTATCCAACAAAGAAAACTGTTTTTCGACACGGAGATTGCAAGCATTTGACCCGGGTCTACCTTCTATATATACATTCAGAGTGACTTCTTCGACGGAATCTAGTGATGATTCTATGATCGAATGATAACTTTATAGATACAGTTAACTGTAATCATGCGTGATGTCGCCTATCCTATCCTAACCATAACTAGCTATGCTTTTATCTTAAATCGAAGCCCCTTCCGGTTGCACAAGCAACTGTATTCAATCATACTAGACCCATACTATAACTATGATTCAATTCATTGTAAAAATGCATCCTTACTTACCATTCTCACATCAAGATTTTAAAGAGTGTAACGAAAAATTCAAGAAAAACGGGAACTTTTTGATAGCTAAAACGTCCCCGCATTACTTCAGCAGACTTCTCGGAATTTCATTTCGGGGAACTTTAGTATATAAAAAATGGCGTGACCTTCTTTGTTTGTAACGCATACACTCGTAATGGTGTCAATCAGTGTAAACACTTCCGTCATGCACATGCGTATCGATATCTAATATTTTGTTCTGATGTTTCACCCAGTCGAATCAAGCTCACAGGCACTAGGTCGTGCACACTTAGTTCTCTCTCATTTCTTTGTTGTTTCTCGTCACGCTATATAAGCTGTAAGTATATATAT